ACTTGGTCTGTCAACCTTTTTCAGAGAAATTCCAATTTTTCAGATGCCTGATGATGTAATAAAAAGATCTTGATAGTTTTTTCTAAGCTTAGGAATTATTCTCCTTGCTATTTTTTTTTTAATTCCTAGGGTATATGTTTCAAATCTGTCTGAGTGCTGAGCCCTACTCAGGGCACCTAAGAAATGTTAGTGTGGGGCTGGGGGTGTAGTAGATCCAGTCAGTGGGTAGGATCAGGGATTCAGTAGATCTGGGGGATGTTATTCTTTATATAATTGGGCTTGAGGACATAGAAATAATTTATGCTTCTTTTAGTAATATTTTTAGTAGGCTACCAATGATTTTTGCATATAAATAAAAGGGGACAACTTTTACTAAGCCTTTTAATGGAGCGGACTTATGGGTTAGTAGAGAAAAGAGCTAGTTCTTTATTGTGTCGCTGGATTGACTGTGGGTCCATAGCCTTTTCCAGGTTATGTCCATCAAATGCAGTTGGTACTCTGTAGTCAAATTTTTACTTTTTTTGTTGGGGGGGGAGGTGAGATATTTTCAGAGTGTGTCTTCCATTCATTGTAAATATGAACATTAACACTTTTTACTAGTTGATGTATTATTCACCAATTGATCATTGCTGCTCACTTTTAAAAAATGTCTATGTAACCAGAAGATCTAGATGGTGCCCTGCTACCACTTTCAACCACTCAGAGGGAGATCTATGTAGGAGATCCTGGATAAAGAGGGAGAACAGTGTGGAACAAAACTCAAAATCATTTGGGGAAAAAAAAGGGGGGGGACCAGGTTTGCTGATCTGATAGAGCCTGGTGGAACTACTGAGACTATGTTCCCTAGCTGCCCTTCAGGTCTGGAATTAAACCCACACCTGTGGCTTCGAGCCAAACAAAAGACAGGCGTATGAGTTGAACATGTACCTGAGGTAGATACACTCCTTGGAGAGAACAATCATGGGAGAAAGAAGGGCTGTTCATGCACAGGAAGATAGTTCAGGGGGCAGGAGTGCATGGAGGGATGGACACAGGGAAGAGGTAACTATCGGGAGGAAGTGGGAGGGGAGCTGTTGCATTGGGGTAAATTGTCGTCAGTGTCATGAGACAATGTGTGTGTGAACTGCTGTATGGAAAGTGAATTTGCTCTGTAAACTTTCACCCAGATCACAAAAAAAAAAAAAGGTCTATGTAAGTTGACTAGAGAGCCCTCGACTACCATTTCCTTCTCCCTTCTTGGCCAGCTACTGCTTTCTGCCCTCCTGTTTCTGCTTCATTACCTGCCATTCTAGTCTGGCTTCTATTCCCAACTACTTCACTGAAAGTGCTCTTAACAGGTGATCAATGACCTCCTGTTGCCAAACCTAATGGATACTTATTGCCTGGCTTACTTGTCTTTGCCACAGCATTTGATGTTTTTAATCACTTCTTCCTCCTTGAAAAAAATTTTCCCTTGACTTCCTGAATTCTTTGCCATCACTGGTTCCTGTTTTCTGCTTATTCCTATGGCTTTTCCTTCTTAGACACCTTCATCAGTTCTTCCTCCTCTACCAACCCCTTCATGTTACCTATGAATGGGATCCTGGAGTTATAGCCAAAGTCCTTATCTCATTTTATTTGCTCCCCAGACAATATCATCTACACCTGACTTCAGCCACCTTATGACAGCTAAGCGTCTCTCTCCAATTGAGACTCCCCTTTCTTGAGCCCCAGATCTCACATATTCAGCTGTGCGTATGTCACAGGTACAGCAAACTCAGAACCTCCAAAACTGAACTTGGTGTTTACCCTGTTGACCTGTTCTTCTGCCTGTGTTCTGGTACTTCTGTCCCCTTCCTCGCTCAGGCCAACTTGTCCACCTAGTTGCAAAGGCAATTTATATTCCTCTTATTGTCTCATTTCTTCCCAGACTGCAGTCACTGAATCCTATACATAATACCTTCTAAAAATCCCTTGAATTCATCCCTCTCTCCCCATTACTCCTCCCTTAGATTAGGCCCTAAGCTCTTTTTGCTTGCAAGACTGCAGTGGTCTTCTGTATGCCTCAGCTGTTAACCAAAAGGTTGGGGGTTCAAATCTACCAGCTGCTCTGCAGGGGAAAGATGTGGCAGTCTGCTTCCTTAAAGACTTCAGCCTTGAAAACACTATGGAGCAGTTCTACTCTGTCCTAGAGGGTTGCTATAAGTCAGAATCTATTCGAAGACACCTAACAGGTCTAGACTAATCTTTCTGAAGTAGAAATCTAGCATCACGCGCCCCGCCCCCTTATAACTCTTCTGTGACTTCCTTTTGCCTTCAGGATAAAGTCCAAACTCCCTCCTTCAGCATCCATAGTATTTTATGATTCAGCCTCTGCTGATCTTTCTAATCTCAACTCTTATCACTTGTACCTGCACCTTATGAGCCAACCACTCTAAACTGCTTGTGAGTCCTGGACTGGGCTGTGTTCTTTCACTGTTTCTTGACTTGGTATTGGTATATACTGCTCTTCCCCCTACCTGGAATACCCTTTCTATTACTTAGGTACCTCTTTTTTGTTTTTATAACACTGTGTATATGTATACACACACACACACACACACATTGTTTATTCAGTCTGTTTTTCCTAACTAGACTTAGAGCTCCTTGAAGAGGTGCCTTGTTTTGATCAATGATCCCTGGGTGGTTTCCTCCAGTAGTATTCCATTTACGTGTAAGAGTGGCTGACTGGTTGGAATGAAAGGAGATAGAAATGTGAAATGTAACCAGTACTGGATCTGGATCTTGTCCATCTTGGAGTTAAGGAAAGTTTCAGAAGTTTGGGTTCAGTTTATAGTTGAAGTATATCCATACAACGAAGAATATTATTTAGCCAAAAAAAAGAAATGAAATTCTGATATATTCAGCCATGTGGGTGAACCTGGAAAATATTGTGCTAAGTGAAAGAAACCAGACACAAAAGACAACATATTGTGTGATTCCATTTATATGAAATGTCTAGAATAGACAAATCCACAGAGACAGAAAGCCTGGGCCCAGAGGGATGGGGGGGGATGGAGGAGCATGACTGCTAACAGGTACAGGTTTCTTTTTGGGGTCATGAGCGTGGTCTGGAATTAGTAGTGACTGATACGCAACTTCATGAATATACTAAAAAAAAGCACTGACTTGTACATGTTAAATGGTGAACTTTGTGATATTTGAATTATATTTCAATTAAGCTGGTACTTAAAAATTGTAATTTGTCAGTATAGCTTTATAGTACTTAGAACAGTGTGCATATTGAATATTGATAGGCTGATCCAGGTAAGCTCTAAACAATATATTGACCTCGTAGTACCAGATTCAGGACTTCTAGTCTATGTTTTGATTTTAAGCAGATATTTTAAAATTACCATCTGACCTTTTAGTAGTAGAAGAACTCAACCAATGTACAAAGATTATCGACTTTCTATTTTGTTAAATATGTGTTATTTGGCCAGCTCTGTCCTTAAGGAATAAACTGGAGAAGATACGCGATTAACTATTGCAAAAAGGACGTGTGGGCATCCTCCTCTGACCTCCTCTGACTTTACGAGGGGGAGACAGAATCACCATCAGCAGCCCGAGGCTGAGTGCAATGAGGCAGAAGTCTGAAGTGCCACCACCCTCCAATCTTTTTACCAACTCTGACACCAGATGTCCCTCCCGTGGCACTCTGCTTCTCTGCTGGGTTCAGTAATTCATTGCATTGACCACATAGAAGTCAGACAATACTCACATTTATGGGGCTTATTAAGGAAGTAAAAGGTCACAATTCAGGCTTGGGAATGCTCAGGATTCATTTCTTTGATCAGGATGACCTCCCCTCTGCCATGGCTGCAGACGTGCCTCTCATTGGCAGTTGACCTCTCAGTCTAGCCTCCGCCCTGCTCGAGCAAGTGTCACAAAGCTCTTAGCTCTGCTGATAGGTACACCCCACGTTGCCAGCAAACCTCCTGCCCAAAGACACTCAGCTTTCTCACTCTGTGGGCCAGTAAGCCTGCTGCTCTGTCTTGTGCTGGTTTCTGGGTCCTATTGCTGCCGTCTCTCTGCCATCATCTGAATGCACGGATCGTAGGTTTAAGGATGCACCCCACTCTCGACTCTTCTAAGTCTTGATGTAGTGGGAGCCCCCTTTCAGCTTCTGGGATGGCTCATTTGAAGCCTAGCAAGATGGCAAAATGACCAATCCTCATATTGATGATGTTGTTGTTGTTATTTGCCGTTGAGTTGGCCCCAACTCATAGCGACCCCTCCTTGGGTTTCCGAGGCAGTATCACTACGGAAGTAGGATTGCCCAACCTTCCTTCCGAGGAGTGGCTGGTGGGTTTGAACTGCCAGCCTTCTGGTTAGCAGTCAAGTGCCTTAGGCACTATGCTACCAGAGCTCCTTATATTAGGGTTCCATATACCTTATTTGCACAGTCCCACCCCAACAAGGGGACCATGACCCTTACTTATATTATTAGCAAGCTATCCAATCCCCTTGGTGGGCCACAAACACCTTATATTTGCATAGTTCCACCCAGTCATCTGATGGGAGTCACAAAGACCATGGCTAGAAGAGCCATAGCAAGCAGTTCACCATACCATAGCCATCCTGTGAATTGATGGATGGAGGTGGAAGGCACATTTCTAACGTGATTGCACAGACAGGTTGGGAAACCTTGGAACCTATTCTGAGTGCAAATCATTTGAGGATGTTCTCTCATTTTGTTACCTTCCTCATTGTTTATGTATTGATCTAGAAATGCAATCATCCATGCTATCACCTTAGGTAATGTTTCCCTCTCCTGTTCCACTGGATTCTATGAATATTGGGCTCTCAGACTTGTGAATGTAGTAATACTTTAAAATGTAATGGCATTTGGTCTAAAAAGTGGTTCAAAATCACGGGACTACCATTACGAAATTTCTGTTAATCAATCCAAAGATATGTATGGGGCACAGAAGAAGGAATCTCTGTCTGCAAGAAGAGCTTACATTTGTCTTTATTTCCAGGTCTCTTGGTGGGTCTTGTGCTACGATACGGCATTCATGTTCCAAGCGATGTAAATAATGTGACCCTGAGCTGTGAAGTGCAGTCAAGTCCAACTACGTTATTGGTAAATGTTAGTGGAAAATTTTATGAGTATATGCTGAAAGGAGAGATTAGTTCTCATGAACTCAATAACGTTCAAGATAATGAAATGCTTAGAAAGGTAAGTTCTTAGTTAAAGGGAATCTTTGGGTTTGTTTGTTTGTTTTTAGGTATATAAGTAGCAGCAAAGTGATTCAGAAGCAAAAGAGAATTTTTAATGATACTGTATGTAATCTTATAAAATGAAGTAAAACAACTTTTAACGAATGTAATGTAATGCTGTGGAAATGGACATGTCTGTAAATTTCATTTTCTGATTGAGGCTAAGTACTATAACCCTTTGTGTGTTTCACTCTGTGTTCTTTACTATCCTTGTAATAAATGGCAGTTTTGAGCTCAGCGGAATTCCTAAGTGTTTGTTTCAATTTGCAGATGATCCTTATAGTTTTACAGCATCTTAGCACTTAGTTTATTTGTCAATGCCTAAATATTTCATTTATTTAATTGAATCATATTTATTTCAATTCTTTTCTTGCCTCGATTGTATTCTGTACTGACTACAGTTTACTCTTTCTTTGGTTCGTAATTTGGCACAACTTCAGAGGCCTTTGTATGAGCATCAGTAATTGTACCATGCTGTGCATCAAGATTTATGTGGGAGGTTGGGTTGGATCTACTGGTTCCCAGAAATTCCTGGAGCTGCTTTCTTCCATCCCCTTCACTGTCCGTTTCTATCACGAAGCTTCTCAGTGCCGCTTGGCTCTTGCCCACACTTGGCCGTTTGCCCCCACTGCTTTTGTTTTCTGCACTGGCAGGACTTGGTTTTTATGGCTACTTGGTTGTGTTCCTGACCATCTTTAGTGCCTGTAAAATTTCATATGAACTTCAACTTAACTTTTCAGCAAGAATTCTTTCCACCTGTGGAGAATTCCAGTTCCTTAAAAGTTCTAATAAACTAAGTTTAGCATGGGTGTATGTGTAGCTTTTGTATTCAAGTCAAATTCATCTATAACCTCATGAACAGAAGGAGCTGTCAGCATTATTTTATCTAATGAGTCTTAAAGTAAGTAGGCCATCAGGACTAGAAATCTGTTTTGTACAGGAGGTATTGACCATAGTATGTTGTATTCTTTTAGAGATGTCACCTATGCAGGTCTGTTTGCTCATGTCAGCTGTAATACCATACCCCACATTTTATGTTACCAGTGTTCAGTCTGTGTTTTGTTTAAAGCACAGATATGTTCATACTTTTGTCTCTTTTTAAGTATTGTAGTATTTGAACACATTTTCCACAGTTACATCTTAACCGATTGTCCTGACACTATCTACTTGTTATTTGGTTGAGGAGTAGAACAAAAGCTGTCCTATATGAAACAGTTCTATGTCACCACATTGGTATTCTTGCCTTGGATCAGTTCAGCTTTTTTTTTTTCCCCCTATTTTTAATAACTTGATGATGTAATATGAGCTGTTCTGAAGAAATTCATCTAAAAGAACTCTGGTTATTTTAACAGGTTACTTTTGATCCAGAAGTATTTTTCAACATATTACTTCCTCCTATCATATTTTATGCAGGGTATAGTCTGAAAAGGGTAAGTGGTTTTGTGTTTCATATACTTTGAACAAACTAACTTACAGTCCATGGGCTCTGTAGTATTTTACAGTTCTTCCTAGGTTCCCCTCCCTTCTCCTTTCCATTTGTTTTAATTTCTTATCCTGTTTAGAAATGTATGCCTGTACAAGAGTGTTTTCTCTTACTTGTTTCCTTTAATGAATAATACATTTAATATTAGCATAGCACAGTAAAATAGAACACTTTTTCAAATAATTGTTAAGGATTGTGACACAGTGTAACTTTTTTTTTTTCCCCCAGAGACATTTCTTTCGAAACCTTGGGTCTATCCTAGCATATGCTTTTCTTGGAACAGCCATTTCTTGTTTTGTTATTGGGTAAGTGTTGAAATTAAAGTTTTAAAATAATACATACTTGATTTAGGTGATATTGTATTCCTGGATGTGTCTAAGGGCTTTTGCAATTAAGTATATTCACGTAGATAATAAGTTATTTGATTTTCCCTTAAGGCTAAGTATTACCATATTTAAATGACATGAAGTAAATTTTGGATTAATCAAAAGGTAATAATAAAAACGCACTAGCCCCATCTTCTTCTTTAGCAGTAGCTGGTTTTTCTAAAATGGAAATATTTTCATTTCCAGGTCAATAATGTATGGTTGTGTCACACTGATGAAAGTCACTGGACAACTTGCAGGAGATTTTTACTTTACAGATTGCCTGCTGTTTGGTGCCATTGTTTCAGCAACTGATCCAGGTATGTTTCATGTGAGAAAACCCAACCCAACCCACTACCATCAAGTCAATTCCAACTCTTTAGCGAACCTCTTGGACAGGGTAGAACTGCCCCATAGGGTTTCCAAGGCTGTAAATCTTTATGGAAGCTGACAGCCTCATCTTTCTCCCATGGAGCAACTGCCTTTCGATTAATATCCCAGTGCTTTAACTGCAGCGCCACCAGAAGTCCTGTTTTACTTGGGAATGGAGCTTAAATACTTCGGGTACAGTGTTTTGCAGTCAAAGCACATGTGAGTATTACTTCCTTTGAAGTATAGAATCCAGAGTTAGGTACTTCCCACAGTACTATATTTTCCAGTTGTGAAAGAAAAAAACCACATTCTTGGTTGCTTTTGGCTTCAGCACCTACCTTTTTTTTTTTTTTTTTCCTTTGTTGATGACGTGCTTCTTGCCTATTACTGTTCTTCACTTTGATGCTGCTTAGGCAAGTACTGTAAGGTATTTTCTTTAGAAATTTTGATTGGTCTATCTTTAGTGATTCAGTATAGGAGATTAGCCAGATGAATTAAAATGGGTAACAATTATACGGTTACCAGTTCCCTAATAGGAATTCTGGTAGCATAGTGCCTAAGGCACTTGACTGCTCACCAGAAGGCTGGCGGTTCAAACCCACCAGCCACTCCTCGGAAGGAAGGTTGGGCAATCCTACTTCCGTAGTGATACTGCCTCGGAAACCCAAGGAGGGGTCGCTATGAGTTGGGGCCGACTCGACGGCAAACAACAACAACAACAGTTCCCTAAAGTCTTCTATTTACCTTCAGCTATCTACATTTAACATAAGGAAAAAAAAAACAGTTTTCAAATGATTGCTACAGGGCAGTTGTGCTAACACCAGGCATACAGTAATTTTGGATCTTTGTATACCTTAAATAATGCTTTTCATAAAATTGGATTTAAGGTTATAAAATTCTTTTGATATTAACACAACTTGTTCCCCTTATGCTTTTTAGTGTCAAATTGTCTACAAGATCATGTTATAGAATGACTTTAATTGTATTTGGTTTAGTTTTTCTAATAGAGTATTGATCAGTGTAACAGCTACATTAAAAGTAGGATAGTAGGGAAAATGTGGGAAGAAGAGGTAAGGGCAGGCACATAGATTGAAGTTTTCTAACGAAGAATGGAAGTTTGCTTCTACAGTACTTTATGGTCTTTGTAGAGGTTTGTTCTGCTTTACCTTTGACTTAGTAAGTTAATCATCATTAATTGTCTTTCACCACAATTAAATGTAGGATTCTAAGGTTAACTCTGAATTCCTGTGTTAACTCTAATAACACAACACACTATAGGAAAGAGAAAAAATATACTCTGTAAGAGGTGATTATAGAACATCAGAGGTCATTAGCCATTAGAGAGATACAAATCAAAACAATAGTGAGATACCATCTTGCCCCAATACTAACAGCAAAGTTCAAGAAGACAGAAAATAACAAATGCTGGCGAGGATAGGGAGAGATTGGGACTCTCATACACTGCTAGTGGGACTGTCAAATGATACAACCACTGTGGAAAGCAGTATAGAGATAAAGTTGGAATTAGAAATATCATTTGATCCAGCCATTCCGTTACTAGGTATATATCCTAAAGAAGTGAGAGCCAGTACAGGAACAGATATATGCATACCCATGTTCATCGCAGCACCATTTACAGTAGCCAAAAGTTGGAAACAACCTGGGTGCCCATCAACAGAAGAATGGATGAGCAAACTATGGTACATACACACAATGGAATACTGTGCAACCCTAAAGAATAACGCAGGATCTGCAAAACACCGCATAACGTGGATGAACTTGGAGGACTTTATGCTGAGTGAAATAAATCAATCACAGAAGGACAAATATAGTATTAGTTCACTATTGTAAAAAGTCAAGGACTGGTTTATATATGGAAGGAGACTTTTTTGTTGGTTACCAGGGGTAGGAGAGGAGGGGAGGGGAGGGAACACTGCAAAAGTAAAAATTCTGGAAAAAAAAAAAATAGAACACCAGAGGACCCTTTTAGACATTTTTGTAGTCTAGCAGTTTTTAAAAACTAGAGATCGAATCATTTCCTTCAAGACCGTCAAGGCTGCCCGGTTATAATTTGTAGTTACTTACATTTTCAGGATGAAAACAGGATGGTTTTTACGAGAAGCCAGTAAGTGGTCTTGGTTTTCTGTGTCTTCTCGCTGGAAACACACTCCTCAGCTTTTCAAAGCCCATGAAGAATCAGTCGACAAGCCTGCCTCTGTTACTTCAACTTTCTAGCTTGTTTGGGGAGGGGGAGTGCCTGAATAGCTCAGTCACAGATCTTTGTCCAGTTGTAGAGTTAATTTTTTTCTGAGTTGTATGTCCCAGTTTTATGGTGAGAGTGGACTGTAAGTTTTTTGAAAATTCTGCAGTGTTGCTCCCAACTTTTATATCTTTTAAAATGCAAGTTCCCTATTTTTTCCTTGGGATTTGAGGAGGCTCTCCTTTCTCTAGTTACCCTCATCTTTCATGTCTCCTTGGTTTTTTTAGCTTGTGAGCTGTATGTGACTCGGCAGTTAAAGTCATAACACAACTTCTATCTCATCTGATGTTTTTAAGTAGTCTTGTACAATGGTTCTCCTAAAAGAAGATTTTTTCCTTCTTATACTATACTATCCTGATAATATAATTTCTTCTTATGTTAAATATAGCAGCTGTAATTCTAGCGATATATTTTACCCAAACCAAACACTAAGCTTGTGTTCTCATTTCCTCTGTCTTTACTAAACTGGTGTGCTTGAAATTTGCAAGTCAAATAGAAGGGAGTTGTAAGGCTCCAAGTAAAAAATGCAGTTTTCAGCAGGAGACACTTTTCATAATATTTTTCATCATCAAGATTAATGGTTGCTTGGTCTGTAAGAAGTTCTGAATCTATTCTTCATAGAAAAGAAATGGAAGAGAAGATTATTAACATTTGCATGAAGAATGTAGACCTCAGTCGTTCAAGGTTATTTTCACCTGTTTTTCAGAGAGCAGAAAAAGGAGCTAGTAAGTGTGTATAATTAGAGAAAAAAATAATGATACCAAATTACTAAATCTTTAGTATGGTGAGGGAATGTTTATTAGGTTTGATTTCTAAGGGGAAGAAATGAAATTCCAGATAACTGTTGTAATTACCTTTTGAGGGGGACTATGTTATTATTTGTAATGTCTGACTCTTTCTCACTTGCTAGTGACTGTCCTGGCCATCTTCCACGAGCTTCAAGTCGATGTTGAACTCTATGCGCTTCTTTTTGGTGAAAGTGTCCTAAATGATGCTGTTGCCATAGTGCTGTCTTCGTAAGTGTTTGTTTTCTTATCATGTTCTATACAGTAAATATTAAGGTACTAGGAGCTGAAAGTCACTTAATTGCATGAAGTATGGTATAAAGGGAAACATTTGGAAGAATGAGTCTTTTTTTTTTTTTTTTTTTGCCTCTTAAAGAAATACATGCTTTATAAAAAACTCACTGCCGTCGGGTCAGATCCAACTCATAGTGACCCCTCCTTGGGTTTCCAAGGCAGTATCACTACGACAGTAGATTGCCCAACCTTCCTTCTGAAGAGTAGCTGGTGGGTTTGAACCACCATCCTTCTGGTTAGCAGTCAAATGCCTTAGGCACTACGCCACCAGAGCTCCCATGTGCTTTATAGATTTATAGATAACTTGAAAAATGAAGGGAAGAAAAAAATGAAGTGTAGTCCTGCTGTCTAAAGAATCACTGTACACGTTTGAGGATATTTCCTTTTTTTCTTTTTTCTAGGCTTAGTATTTTGGTATAATTGTGCTTGTATATATGTATAATTTTGTATTCTTTTTTTAACTTAATGACATGAAAATTTTATTTTTTAAAAGACTTTTTTTTGGAATAGACAACATATTAGCACGGTTCAAAAATCAAAGGTATATAAAAAGTGTACACTGACAATTCAGGTTATTATTACTCTTGTCCTCATCTATCACTTAGAGTTAACCATTTAAAATAATGTCCTGTGTATCCTTCTAGTAGTTCTTTATTTAAATGCAACCAGATATGAATGAATAAATTTTCATATTTGCCTTCCATTTTTTTATTTTAAAAGTCACAGCTATGTTTGCTCTATGTCTAGCTTTTTCTCATGTTAACAATATATTCTGGAGATCCTTCCGTATCCAAACTGAGTTTCCTCAGTTTTTTGCAGCTGCACAATACTGTGTGTGAAAGGTAGTATAGGTTATTCAGTCAGCCCCCTATTGCTAGACACTTGGAGTGTTTTTGATATTTTGCTATCCCAAACAATGCTGCAGTGATTAACCTTGAACTTACCTTGTTTCATGCATGCATAGGTATATTGGTAGGATGAACTCCCAAAAGTGAGATTGCTGGATTAAAGGGTAAATGTATTGGTAATTTTCTTAGATTTTAACCAATTGCCTGTCAAATAAATTGTCTCATTTTGCACTTTAACCAGTAAAATGTAGGAGTGCCTGTTTCCTCACAGGTTCAGCAACAAAATATTTGTCTAATTTTTGTATTTTTGCTAATTTTATACTTAGAAATATCTCATTGTAGTTTAATTTGTATTTTTCTTATTTAACATTTCAGAAAACCTTTTTACTCTTTAGAATTGTTAAATAATATGCTTTTTCTTGAAGACAGTTGTAGAAATCAGCAATGTTTTTCTATAATTGTAGAAATTACAATACATGTTAGTAGAAGGTTTTTGCAGGTGGCAAAATGGGTCTGGATCGCTGAGGAACTCAGTCTTGCCTGCCCACTCCTACTAAGCAAATATCTAACCCTATGGACAGTTGCCTTTACTCAAAACCAGAAGGAGCAAAAGCCCTTCATTTCCTTTCCCCCTCCCTCTCTGTCTTTTTCTTTCCCTCCTTCATTCCCACTGACTCTGGTTTGTGTAGCCTGATTGCCTTCCTGCAAAATGGGAAATTGCCTTGTCTTAGGTGACTCTGTAACACTTAATCCTTAAAATTGAAGTGTGAAGGTAATATTAAAGGTCAAATCTTTTCTGTGACTGCAGTGTACTTAAATTTAGCCCCTTCATATTGTTGGATTTCTTTTTTAATTTTTATTGTGATTTGGGTGAAAGTTAGAGAAAATTCATTTTTAATACAGCACTTCACATACACTTTGTCTCATGATAGTGATTGCAATTCCCCACAATGCAACAGGTCTTCTCCCACTTCCTTCCCATAGTTACCTCTTCCCTGTGTCTTTCCTTCCCATGCACTCCTGCCCCCCGAGCTGTCTCCCTGTGCATACACAGCCCTTTTATTCTCTTGTGATTATTCTCTCCAAGGAGTGTATCTACCTAATGTAAATGTTCAGCTCATATGCCTGTCTTTTGTTTGGCTGGAAGCCACAGGGAT